TAACTGACCTAATTTTTTTTTTTTGGTAAATAATATATCTATATTTTTATATGTATATATTTATATTTATATTTTTCATTAGGTACATTAATTGATGATATTTATATTTTTTTTTTTTTTTTTTTTTTTTGTTTGTTTTTTGTAATTTGAAGGGGCGATATGTTAGAGGGAATGGCAACCAAAAGAAATGGAGTGATTGATATGCTATTAATAGGGAGTATTAATTACAATTATGGCAATTAATGAAATGCTTGAAATAAATTATAAATAAAATATGAAGTTTAGTGGCAACGATGTGAAAACATAGGAATACTATGATCTCTTATATCTTACTGGCTATTTAAGTTTGAAATTGGGTTTTACACATATAATTATAGAGTTACGGATATATGTCTAGGCAATAGAAAATTATAGGGACCTATATTGTACAAGCCCTTTTTTATTTCATGTTTTGGTCAAAAGTCTTCCAGTACTTGTGGTCGTATATGGTGGACTGACAATCACATATAAGTGCTTCCTTGAGAAATGAGACCCCATTGTCTGCAATAATATACCTATAGTATATATCGTATAAAAGTTTACTAAATTTTGCTTGTGGTCGTATATGATGGATAGATACTTTTGTTTTTTCTTTATTGAAACCTCTAAATTTGACTGAATAAATAATTATGAACTATTCCATCTTTTGCATTTTGTTACTTGGCATATAACCATCAATTTCCATGTATATAATAGACTTTCTTAACATGACCAAGTTGAGTTCACATGTAAAAGGAAAGTTTGGGCAAATAAAAGAATCTGTTTTGTTCGATAGGACAGGTAAATGAATTAAATGATGAGTCTTATAGCGAATCTCGTACAAATCAACGATTTACAATCGTCTAAGATCTTGTTATATATTGAAACAAAAAATCATTCAGATGCTCTATTTCAACGTTGTTTAATTAATTAGATCATAGAAAACCAATATTGGTTTGGTGATTATAATTAATGAAGCATGCCAAAGTTGATCAAGTGAAACAAAGAAATGGACATCTTCCACAAGGATCCAAAAAAAAGGTTTCTGTCTAAGTTGGTGGGTTAGGAGAAGAATAATAAGAAACTTAGTCAGAGTGATACTGCTGCTGGTGGGAGTCTGGGAGTGGTTCACATACAGTGACGACTTTGACGCAAAACTAAAACGGCTGACTTTGATGATTTGGTTGAGAGAGAGAGAGAGAGAGAGAGAGAGAGAGAGAGAGAGAGAACAGATTGAGAACAGATTGATAACAGATGATTTGGTTGGTAAAACACAAGAAGCTTAAACTCTTCACAACATGTCTGCCCTTTGCACCCAAGTTTGAGAACAGATTGATCGCTAAAGTCATCAAATTAATTGTTTTTTTAATCCAGGTGAAGGCAATGAGTAAGGTGCAATCTCGAGCAATTTATTACTCAGTATTCTTTGGTCATGAGAACTAATAAATATAAAATAAATAATAAAATAAATCTTGAAGTATTGGGTCTGATATCTGGCAGGTTAGGCTTAAAGAATAAAACTTGAAAACTTGCAAGTTTGAGATGCTTTGACTTCATCAGTGTGATATCATATCATGCTTGAAGGGTAAACAATGGAGGCTGGTCACGACTCAGTGAGTGTAGCTGACTTTAACACTAATTAATCATGTAGGTGGACTGCTTCGTTTTTCTTAATTAGTCTGTCATTGGTAATATAATATTAGTGATAATAATTTTAAAATGATTTTAGATATATATTTTTTGGAATAATCGATAGTAATTATTGATAATAAAAAAACAAAACTACTGAGCAATTATGGTGTCGAATATGAGTAAATCTTATTCAATAATCAGACGGTTGCTTTCAAAGTTGTTAGAAATAATGAACAGAATTTCAATTGCTCTACATGTGATTTTGGGTTCTTAGCTTAGTAAACAATTGGAAACGCGACAAAAACAAATGCATAATATTGCATATGGCATACCAAAACAAATTTCGACATATATCTTATTATTTAAATCTGTAAATTTCGTGGTGTAAGGCCATGTGGAAACGGCTATCTATGCCAGATCTGTCGTTACTCCTGAAAGTTATATAAATTAAATTAGAAATATATTTTGTCGAAAACGATGTGTTATTATTTTTTGTTTATAGCCACCAAACCCTTACTGAAATCTGGTTTCCAAGTCAAAGCCTGCATGCTCTCCACGACTGAGCAAATGCTCTATGAACCATAAGTAATTGTGATGATGAAATTACTAATACATGTTGTAGACGTCACAAATGACTGCCCTTTTGTTTTCTTTTTCTGGGGAAAGACTAATGCCACCCGAATTATAGGCCTAGGTGAAACTTTAAGAACATCTCCAACCATGGGGTGGAAACTGAAAATTTGACCTTCGAGGCTAAATTTCATCTCCAACTCACGTATTTGGGCGGATGAAAATTTGGGCCAGGCACTATTTTGGGAGGAAATTCAGTCCGGATATTGCATGGACTGGTAATTTTTGTGAAGCCCAACATGCCAGCAATCAAGATTCAAGGCCACGTGAAGAAAATGCAGAGAGGGTCCTGCATGAAAGATTTTTGTCCGCCACTCTTCTCCTTCATTCCAACACATGGAAGGCTTACATCAAAAGGACGTTGGAGTCCAATGGCTCTCTTTGAACAACTCGTTCTTTTTTTTGGCTTTTTGAACCAATGCTGCATATTTTTTTAATCCAATCACTAGTATAAAAAAAACGTTGCGCGACGAAAAATTATTCGTCGCTCAATGTCACTTTAGACGACGAAACTAAAAAATTTGTCGAGCAAAACTTTGCGCAACCAAACAAAATTCGTGGCGCAAAGTCACTTTGCGTGACAAACTTTTGCACGGCGACAATACTTCGTTGCTCAAAGTCTTGGGCGACCAAACTTTGCGCCACGAAACAATAAACTTCGTTGCACAAAGTCTTTAGCGACGAAGAGTGTTTCGTCGCGCAAAGTTTTTACAAAAATAAATAATTTTTTTTTTTAAATCTTTGCATGACGTAATCCAAATATTTCGTCGCCTAAACCAATTTATTTTTGTTTTTGATTTTGTATGCAATAAGTAGCTTCAAATTTATTATTTTAGTTTGAATCGGATTTTTGTTAGAAAAATATATTATTTTAGTTCAGATTGGGCTTTTGTTAGAAAATATATATTTTAAATTGATGATCGAATTAGTTCATTGTATTCATATAGGGTTAAGGAGTGTAGCTGTAAAAAATATCAAAATCGAAGTTAACATAACCGTTAAATCGTGATTTTTCATTTATAACCGTCGAAAAGTTTTGTCCAATTACTTGATCTTTGAATGTTTATTTTTTCCGATTTTTGGCATATATGATCTCGAAGTATAAACAAACAAGTTTGACGGTTGGATAGTTGAAACTAGTTTCGTAGAATGCGTATGCCATCAAAACAATATATTCACTAACAATTAAGAGTTTATTTATATTTTCGTTAAATATAACATAAGATTTTGTGGTATCCACTAGTGTAAATATTTTAAATTGAAGATCAAATTCAGTCATTGTATTCATATAGGGTCAAGGAGTGTAGCTGTAAAAAATCATCAAAATCGGAGTTAAAATAACCGTTAAATCGTGATTTTTCATTTATAATCATCGAAAAGTTTTGTCCATTTACTTGATCTCTAAATGTTTTTTTTAAAAAAAAATTTTGGTGTATATGATCTCGAAGTATAAATAAACAAGTTTGATGGATGGATCGTTGAAACTAGTTTCGTATAATGCGTATGCCATCAAAACAACATATTCACTAACAATTAAGAGTTTATTTATACTTTCGTTAAATATAACATAAGATTTTGTGGTATCCACTAGTGTAAATATTTTAAATTGAAGATCAAATTTAGTCATTGTATTCACATAGGGTCAAGGAGTGTAGTTGTAAAAAATCATCAAAATCAGAGTTAAAATAACCGTTAAATCGTGATTTTTGATTTATAACCGTCGAAAAGTTTTGTCTCGTTACTCGAACTCTGAATATTTATTTTTTTTAATTTTTGGCGTATATGATCTCGAAGTATAAACAAACAAGTTTGATGGTTGGATCGTTGAAACTAGTTTCGTAGAATGCGTATGCCATCAAAACAATATATTCACTAATAATTAAGAGTTTATTTATACTTTCGTTAAATATAACATAAGATTTTGTGGTATCCACTAGTGTAAATATTTTAAATTGAAGATCAAATTTAGTCATTGTATTCATATAGGGTCATTGAAAAATATTTTATGTATCACAAGTTAATATAAATATATATTTATTTATATGAAACGTCCTTTTCCTAAGATTTTATTTTTTTATTTATTATTTATTTCTTGAACGTCGTTTTCCTAAGATTAGGTGAGGGGAAAAGGTCACAATCATTTCATGGTGATTAATCATACAAGTCTTTTTATTTATTTTCGTCCAGAAAAAAACATCTTAAAAGTCAAAATTAAATTTATGGTGAAAAAGTCATGTGTAAATTCAGGAATTAAATATGGGTTTCTGAAGTGTCCACGTGTTTTCTCATGCTTGACCCAAAAATGATAAATTTATTTACTTGGAAAATCTTTTTCTTGGGACCCAATATCTTGAAAAAGTGAGCCTACGGCTAGATTCCCAAGTAACTTTTCTAAATCCAACCCAAGTCGATATATGGCCCGACCCATTTCAGTGCTATACCTACAAATCAATAAAGTTTTGTTGCAAAGCCAAGAACATTTAGAGCTCTTCTAGTTTTCCTAGCTTCATCATTTGATTCTTAATAACTGAATTCAATTTGAGTTCAGGTTGTACTTTACATAGCTAGCCCCCACACCACAAGCAATCTTCTCTTGCCATCTCGCTAGACAATTTGATGTATTATGTTGTCAAATTATTAGCCGTTTAATAACCGAACATGTCACATTCTCTACCACTCCTTGTCACATAAATTAACAAAAGAATTAAGCAAAGTTTACTTCAAATCTCGACAGTGCTTTGATTGAGAGCCATGTATCTCCATCTCTCCTTCTCCACAAAATCTGCATCCAAAAACCTTGAAACAAATGCCCAGAGCCTATAAATATCTTCAAAGTTTGTCAAAAACCCCAATGCAGCAGTAACCACACTAATCCCAGAATGGCATCCATCTTTTCTCTTGTTTACCGCGGTGCTTCCTTCCACTCGATCACTTGCACATGTCTCCAACTTTGTTTCCCTCTCTTCCTCATGCTTGTCTGAGAACCAAATGTGATTCAAAATGCTATTACTCAGAGAAATATTGTTTCGATCAGCGAGCTTCTGAACGATCAATGGATTAATCTTTTCTCCTTTCCAATCAAACAAATTGAATGCCAGACTAGGCCCCCGGTCGAATTTTATCTTTGGTCCATAGATTCTGACCAATTGATGCCCATATTGTGAATGTGGATGCTGCAGGCTCATCAATGCATTCACCAGCCAGTTGATCAAGTACCTTGCTCTTCTACTAATTAGTACTAGGCCTAATGAGTCCGCATGATCCAAGCCCCTGCATTCGATCTCTGCGCTCTTGGGTTGGCTAGACTCAAAATGATCTCTGTCTAGTTCCATGATTTCTGAAAGTGATGGTGCCTTTTGCTTTATGGAGGCTTCTTCAATTTCATGGGACTTTGAGTTTTCTAGTTTGGTGATTTCTGAAAGTGATGGTGCCTTTTGCTTTATGGAGACTTCTTCAATTTCATGGGACTTTGAGTTTTCAAGTTTGGACTGTTTTTTATCAGTTTCTATGTCCATAGAAATTGAGTCATCTGAGTATTCAGATGGTTTTGATGCTGGGACAAGGCTCACAATTCCTATGCTCGAAGCAAATGTTGAATCCTTTAACACTGAAGCACTGGATTTCTTGACAAACAAGCAACCAAACCCAGATGGGTTTTCCCCAAAAACTTTGAAGAAAGAGCAAATGAGAAAATCAGGCTGAAATAGAGAGAGGCCTAAAGTGTCCATGTCCTTGGGCCCCAGTGAACATGCATCAAGCAACACATGCCACCCATTTTCCTGTGCTATGCTCATCCACATATACGAATACCGGGCTCCGGTCATCCTTGACTGAAGTGGGAAAACAAACAGCCCCGGCTTCTTCCTCGTCTTCTTCATATTGCCAATCCGTTTCCTCAATTTTCTTGACTGAATTCTCATATTAGGCCATGAGAACTCCGCGGACATGACTCGACCTCCCTTTTTCTTGGAGCTCTCTGTCATCACATCCACTGCCTCACACTTGTAGTCATAAACAGTGAGAAGACTTGGATTTTGCTGGAAGGGATAAGAGTCTGCTAGAAGTTTGAAAGCTGATGATTGATTAGCAGTGAAGACCATGGTGTAATCACATTCAGAAATATTCATGTAACCCATGATTCTTTTCCTCATTTCAAACTCCACCTCTGATTCCTGTCCTCCATAGACAACCTGGGTATGCAAGTTTACTGACTTGTATGAAATGTCAAAAAAGAGAGGCTCAGGAGAGTGAAGCAATTGAGGAGGAGGAGGAGAAGGAGGAGAAGATGATGTTGAAGCAATTGTAGGTGTTGGGTAATTATATTGTGTTTGTTGCTGAGAGTATGAGAAGAGGCCATGTCCAATGTAATCAAGACACACATGATTGGAGAGGGTGAGATGGTAATATTCACGGGCTCTGATGTGGTCTGCTTGGTCAGTTTGGGAGAATTGTGGGTAGGCTTGGATGAAGTAAGAATATGACTCTTGGAGTGAAGGGAGGGATTCATGATTGGTAAATTGGGTGTCTGGGCAGAGAGAGGAAGATGTTGCAATAGTGAAGTCATACCTGAAACCGGTGACTACTGTTTCTGTAGACTTGGGAGTTGATAAAGGATTGGAGGTGGAGGACCCATGATTGCCAAGAAAATTAGGTGCTGGAAAGCAGTCATGTAAGCAGGTCTCTGAGGCTTCTCTAATGCAAGGTGAGAGCATTTTACCTCTTTTTCCTTCCTTGCCCTTATTTGCTTCTGGTGCCCGTTTTATTTCTGATGGGTTCTTCACATTCATTTCATTGGGTATTTCTCAGTGTATAAATGGGTAAAAGTCTTGCTGATTGTGTGGGCTGTGGAGACACCTTGTCTAAGAAGGCACTCAGTGGACAAGTCATTGCAATTTGCATGCACTCAGTTGACGTTGTCTTCCACGATTTCACTTTTGCTGCTTAGAACTTATGGCAGAGTAAGACTTTCTCTTATCTTATCACACCTATTTTGATCACCTATAGAGTTGCAATATTGGTAGTTGAGATTCCAATTAAATGGTTTGAGATGGTAGGGTTGAATCTCAAATTCAAACAATATAATAGCAAGTCAATTCAATCCAACATGACATCTTTGTAACTCGCTTCCTGAAGTTGGAAGATATTTCAAATCCGAATTTCCTTATCCCCACTAATAAAAGAACATAACAAAACATTGTTCATAAAATTTAAACTTATAATCTGTTTTCAATAAAATAGAAACTAAATACTTGTTTGGAAGTGATTTTGGAAGGACCAAATGTTTTTCCATAGAAGTGATTATTAGAAAATTTAAAATCAATCTCAAACCAGCACAAACTATCACTGGACTAAATGCGTGATTGTTTGACCGTCACACTCTGGTTACACCTTTTTTTATTTCTTTCAATAATGAGCCTAAAGTTTGGGTCCCTCCTAACAAAGAATGAAGTGGCTGTGGTGGTTCCCTAAGAGATAACGGATATCCTGGCATCCAAAAACTTTTTGACTTTGAGATGCTGAAAATCGAAAGCAAACAAGCAAACAAGGGCAAGGGGAAGGGGAAGATTAGCCTTGTGATTGTGGCTGGCACTGTTTGCAGGCCGGATGCTGCTTTGAATTATTCAGAGTCAGAGCCACTTAATAGCTTATCAATACACTGTAACCAACAACACTACTACTAGTTGTTGTACCTCTTAAATTGAGTGATACTTTTCCAATTTGTGCCGTGCAAATCCAATGATGCAAGTCATTTTCCAGCTTGCCAAATTGTCGTCTGTTCCCATCAATAGAAGACTCTCTTTTCCAAGTCTTTGTGTATTTAGTTTTTGGATTTATTTGAGTAGGCCTATATGTTATAATGTACTCGACTTGAAGTGTTATAAGCTAAATTGGGAGTGCTAATAGTATTACCGTGTGAGAATTTACGAATTTTCGGAAGGAAAAACAATATAAGATAACTTTGAGAGAGGATATGGTAACAAGTTGAGGTCTGATTAGCCAAGTTGAGGTTGGATTAGCTAAGAACACTATTAAACAAGGACTTTATTGTTTAAGAAAAAATTAAAAACGATTACAAGTCTTATCACGGCATGGATCAGTAGATTTGCTTTGCTGGTCAAACTTTGATAGGAACAAGAACAATGGACTGCGTACGATTGACGGGGATGGATGGATATATAGAATAGAAGGTGGGGGAGGCATATTTATATTGCATTGCGTGGAGTTGTGTGTAATGCGTTATTAAATCACCCTTATTAAACTGCCTAATAATAAGATGAAATAGACGTCTATTTTCTGGATTTGTTATCTCAATCAGGAGACTGATGTGACATATTTCTAATTAATCCAATTCATGCTGCTATGATAGCATCAGCCCCCTGCACAAAGCTTTTTTACTTTCTTTTTTTTTTAATTAAAAAAAAATTCATGTTTGTTAAAACTACTGTAATGAAAAATTAGTTGACATTTTGTTGTGGAATTGGCATTTCTTGTAGATGTTGTTTACTTCATTTGCATACTTCATTGGAGATGCTCTTAGACATCAATATTGAGACAATGACAAAATTGGACTTGTTGAGAGTTTTGTATTTGTTGATGCTAAAAAATGGTTGAACACTTTTGGGCCCAACTTGATGATGATGTCACCTTCGGCCCTGTGTGGTCATTTGCATGGCGATGATCCGCAAGACAAAGAGCATGCAGTAAGTAGCCGAATGTCTACAGAGTGAACAGTGATCTGGACAGAGTGATGGTTAAGTAGCCGAATGTCGTGATTATGTCATTTTGGGGACTTGTGCCCTTTTTTTGTAGACCTTGAGAGATATGCATCTTGAGTTGGAATTTCGATGTGGGATTGTAGACATTGCTTGAGGAGGCGTCATGTGTTCTTATGGGAAATCTCTAATGGCGTGTGGTCTTTTGATACGATCGGCAGTCCATGGTGTCGAAGGCTCACATCCTGCTGATGCTACTTTGTGGGGCGCAATTGGTTACCGATTTTAGCGGATCCTCTTTGTGGGTCCCTTGTTCCACATGTTGTTCTCTGATTGGCCGGTCAAATATGGTTTAAACAATATTCAAACCCGAGCCACACCCAGAAACCTAAATCTGACTGTCACTGTAGCGTGCAAATGGGCTTTCCTCAAATGTACTTCTTACATATTTCTAGAAAAGGCACTAAGTTTTCAAATAAGGGTTCATACCATATTCGACTGTTCTATGGATAAGTTTTTCTTTTTGGGCCTGAAAAGTAATTATTTTGGACATCGAAACATATTTAATAATGAGTGCTACTATTTTCATCCCTGTCCTATTTTCCCATTCATCTTATTTTCAAAATTTTGAAGATAAATTTATCCATTTGTAAATAAGTCACACTCCCCTAATAAAGTGAACACAAGAATATTTTGAAGGAAATCCTAAAATGAAATGAAAAAAAAAATTCAAAGTTTATTTGCTTTGTATGTGTCTTTATTTGGAGAGACAAAAAATAAAGGAGAGAATTTCAGTAGAATAGTTTGTGAAATGAAAATTAAGAACCATTTGAAATTGTTTTAAATTTTTAGTTTTAAAATAAAATTATCCCTCCTTACTTTCCTGCCTCTGTTGAAAGATACCTATATAGAAGCAAGTGGATTCATTTCTCAATAAAAGTACTCAACATTATTTTGGCCTAATTTATCTAATGATGCTTTTCTTTAAGACGATTAAAGTGTTTGATGAAATGTCTCAAAGTTGAGGTATAAGAAAGAAAAAACTTCTAAATCTGCCATTATCATTCTTGAATTTGATCATTATGTGGCAGATTTACTATATGCCTAAATCTGCAGCTCGCCCCAAAAACTTCTAAATCTACCACTATCATCGCAATTAACTATATGCTTCTGCCTATTGTCAGCATGATTGAGTCACAAGTATTCTGTGTAAAGAGCAGTAAGAGTATCCAAAATGGGCTCCCTAAACCACCTCCTTAGACAAATTTTAGGGAGGAATCATAAAAATACAACTCCAACCACGCTCCCTATTCACCTCCTAAAATAGGGACTCCTCTAGGAGCTCCTAAATCTGAGAAGAGAGAAAGGACTCCTAGTGACTCCCTATAATTTAATGCTACTTTATTTAATGAATATTTCAAACCTTTATTTAATGCTAATTATTTTTTATTTTATTTTTTAATAGAGATGGACCAATCAAAAAAGAGTTATAGCATTTGTGACTCTCCAAATTATGGAGTATGGTTGGAGTTGAAATTTTTTAAAGAGCTCCTAAAATAGCTTTCTTATATTTTTAGCTAAATTTTAGCTAAGAAATAGAGAGCATCATTGTGGATGCTTTAATTGCAATCAAACCTAAAGAAAGTGTTCTCTGATGTCTTCAATTCTATTTATAGTGGCACACCTTATATATGTATCTTGGTTGAATTGAGATTTGCAACTAATATAATTGAAATTTGACGTACAAAATTTGTTTAATAAAGAGATTAGGATGTATCTTGGTTGCATATAATATTGCTGCTTACTCTTAAGTGCATGTATTTGCACATTACAATCATGTCTGCGATAAATGAAATGATATGATATTTACAAATTTATTTTTACACGGGTCATATAATTCAATCCTTCACAGCAAAGTTATGAAGTTATGTCACAATAATGGGCTATCCAACAACTAGGTATTGTGATGTAGAACAGATGACGAAAGAAATTGAAGAGAAGTTGGAGAGACGAGCGCAGAAGGGTATATCGGGCAATCTGCAGATTTGGGCTCTGAGCTCAGAATTGGGCCCATGATGTATGGGCTTTTTTGGGCATCCGAGATCGTTTAGTAACCCAAAATCTAAGTTTTATGTTTTTACAGTTTTTGAGAAACTTTGTTATTTTCCTATTTTAATTTCTTGCATTGCGTGGAGTTATGGGTAATGCATTATTAAATCATCCTTATTAAACTGCCTAATAAGATGAAATAGACGTCTATTATCTGGATTTGTTATCTCAATCACGAGACTGATCTGACTTATTTCTAATTAATCCAATTTCCATGTTGCTATGATCAGCATCACCAAATTTTTTTTTTTTTTTTTTTTTTTTTTTTTTTTTTTTTTTTTTTTTTTTTTTAAAATGTCCATCCATGTTTTTTTTTTTTTATTTATTAAACTGTAATGAAAAATTGGTTGACATTTTGTTGTGGAATTGGCATTTCTTGTACATTTTGTTTACTTCATTTGCATACTTCCTATTGAGACAAAGACAAAATTGGACTTGTTGAGAGTTTTGTATTCCAACTTGAACCACACCCAGAAACCTTAATCCGACTGCCACTATAGCATGCAAATGGGCTTTCCTCAAATGTACTTATTACACATTTCTAATGTTTTCAAATAATGCAAATGAGTTTTTCTTCTTGGGCTTGAAAAGTGATTATTTTGGACATTGAATGTCCTATTTTCTCATTTATCTTATTTTCAAAATTTTAAAGATAAATTTACCTCTTTGTAAATAAGTCACACTCCCCCAATAAAGTGAAAAGAAGAAACTTCAAAGAATTGAAAGGAAATCCTAAAATAAAAATGAAAAAAAAAAATTTCCAAGTTTAACCCTAAACCCTAGAGAATTTCAGTAGAATAGTTTGTGAAATGAAAATTAAGAACCGTTTGAAATTGTTTTTAATTTTTTAGTTTCAAAATAAAACTATCCCTCCTAACTTTCCATCCAAAAGAACCATTAAGAATCATTTTGGCCTAATTTATCATTGATGCTTTTCTTAAAGAGGATTAAGGTGTTTGATGAAATGTCTCAAAGGTGAGGTATAAGGAAGAAAAACTTCTAAATCTGCCACTATCATTCTTGAATTTCATCTATATGCTTTTGTTTATTATCAGCAGGATTGAGTCACAGGTATTCTGTATAAAGAGCAGTAATTGTGATTGAACCTGAAGAAAAAGTGTTCTCTGACGTCTTCAATTCTATTTACAGTGGCGCACCTTATATATGTAACTTGGTTCTATTGAGATTTGCACCAAATGTACTTGAAATTTGATGTACAAAAGTTGTTTAATAAAGAGATTAGGATGAAATTACATGCATAAAATATTGCTGCTTACTCTTAAGTGCATATATTTGCACATTACAAGCAGGACTGCGACAAATGAAACGATATGATATTTACAAATTTATTTTTGCACGGGTTAAATAATTCAATCACAGGCTATCCAACAACTAGGTATTAACCTTACCACAAATATGTATAGACTATAGTTGTCACATTTGTGAGTCGATCGAATCGAATATGAGTCTTTCTCCAACTGGTTATACTGAGGCATATAGTTTTCTTTAAATATCTTTGCATAAATTAATCTACCCACAGAATGGTTAGACACCAAATCAAGTAAAAGCATCTTTTCCATCAATCAACTATATGGCATACATTAATATACAAACAAAAAAGCAAGAAAAAAAAATTACGAAAGTGTAACAGACCCTTTTGTTTTTTGAGAAGATGATGGATTTCATTAGAAAATCAGAGTATTACAAGGATAAAACATGTATAGAGTGGCATCGTTAAAACCTCTCTGAGAAAAACCCAATTGGACAAAACATCAAAAGATGAAAGAATATCACACATACCAAGACTACAAGAGAATCAAGCAACAGTACACTCAGGAGAGTCCTCATTTAGACAATCCTGTAACCAAAGTATAACAGACACTTGAATTGAATTGTGAGTCATGCATTATCAAAACTGTAAAATTATAGCCTTGCAGGTAAAGTTTCTGTTTGGACATGATATTGTTCCTAGTGTGTCTGGTCCCACTTTCTCCTCTTGGGGTGAACAATTTCTTAAGGAACCATATGTTTGGTAAACTCCTTGCGTTTGGTAAGCTCCTTGCGTTTGGTAAACTCCTTGCGTTAAATTCAACAATGTTCATTTAAAGTAAATGACTTTTACCACGCATCTGTTAAAATGGTTAATATATCTGAGTCAAGTTTGGTGTTTATATACTCTTTCTTTTGGCATAAATTTTGCTTGAAGAATCAAGCAATTGGTATATGCATACATGGCATTTTTCACAATGACAATATTATGAGAAGAAACTAATTAAGCTTTTGGATGGGAATGGCGAGAATCAAGATCTCGTTGTCGTGTTTGTTTGGGTAAGTTCTCTACCACTAAAACAATGAACACCATAAAAGAAGTATCTTTAATTAGGTTCAAACTCTCCTGTACTAGCAATTAGATGGCAGAAAACATCCCAATTTTACAAAAAAACTAGCTGGTGGTGGTGGAGAGACGCCTAGTGGACAAACATATATATACATGTGTGTGTAATTCATAAAGGGTTCACATAAAGTTTGCATTTTTGCTTCCTTTAAACTATAATTAGGTGACTCACACATGCATGCACTCGCAATCGCCAAGGTAACAAAACAAAACAAATTCAGATAAAGAAATTAGTAATTAAACCCAAAATTCAATCACATATATTGATTCTGTTTTCTAAGCCATACCCTTCTGCATGGAACACTATCTTTTGGACCGTCAGATGATCAATCACATTGAGCAGAAGCAGTCGAAGGGCAACTCTCCTTTGGCGGGTCATAACTTATAAGAACACAAAATCATCATTGCCTGCCAAAGGAGAGAAGCCCTACAACTAATCCGCTCATTTGTCTTCTTCACAAATCTACACCAGTTGATGACTGACTAAGGGTGCAAGCTGCTTTATATACACCTCTTCTTTCCAAACTTTTTCAGGCTTTTCAGGCTCAGGCAATGGAACAAGGGCACAAAAAATAGCATATGCCATGGATATACTTCTGTGCGCCTCCTTTAATCTCAAAAAATCTCTTTCTTACTCATGTTTTATAGATTCTGTTTGGCTCTCTCTCTCTCTCTCTCTCTCTCTCTCTCTCTCTCTGTCCATTATTTCATGTTTTGGAGATGGAGATGGAGGAAGAAAAAGAAGGGTCGTCAAGAGATGCCTTCTTTTTTGTTTGTTAGGCTGAAGCAGTACCTGGTCATTGAGGTATATCCTATGTCATATTCTTTCGATATTTATTTTCTTTTCTGGTTTTTTCTTTTTCCTAAAGGGTTTTCTTGGTGTTTTTTTGTTGTTGGGGGGGTTTTCCTGGTCTTTAAAATCCATATAAGCATCCAACAGAATATAATTCCCAATAACTTATGTTATCTCTAATTGACTTGTTGATGCATGTCTGTGATCCAATTAATATCGAGTTGATTAGATATAGGGGTTTTTTTTGTTTTTTTTTGGCCCAATTTTCCATTGTATGTTTAAAGAAATAAAACCGAAATATACATTATACATAATTTTATCATCGATATGGCGAACTATGTTGGGGACAAATGGGAAGTCCCTTTGGTATGCCAATCATACATATATAATAAGACCCAATCGATATCTGCATGCAGATGCTGTCAAACAATGCTGTAATAAGACCCAATTGATCAATTTCCATCGCTAGCAAGTCTCTCATCCAGTATTCTTTTCCCCATGTACCTGCACCATAAAAAAAATTAATATATAAATACCATCCATTAGGCCTCAACATAATAACTCCATAACATGATTAGATTGAGTCTTGAGTGGTCATGTTTAGGACTGCTTTTTAAATGGTTAAAAGCGTTTTTTTTGTAACAAAAAGCACTTCTGATGACATTTTGCAAAAAAAAACTTAGAAGCAATGTTCTTCTAATAGAAGCGATACTCGAAAAAGCACTTATAAGCAGAAGTAGTGCTTCCTTCAAAAGTAATTTTAATCTGATTATGAAATGAAAAAATAATAATAATAATAATTACCTTCCAAGCATCATTACGGTGGCTTGAGGATTGGTTCCGGGGGAGTAAATAAACGTCGAACCATCGATAACACGAAGAGCATCAACGCCGAGAACCTTGTACTGATAATCAACAACCCTCCCAACTTGGCAGCCTCCATGGTAGTGCCATATGGTCATCACAGTGTCCTTGCAAAACTGATCCAAAGACCTTGAGACATTGGCATGCTTGGGCAACAAGTTAATTGGGCTGTTTGCTGTAATGTTGAGCAGAGCTGCTAAAGACAGATAGTCATATCTGAATTTGGAGAAGGGCTTTGATTCAATTATTTTCTCTATGGTCTCAATGCCCTGGATGCATCTCTCCAAGTCTTGGGGATCTTTGAAATAGTTGAATGTCACTGATGGGTTGTCGTTCGGGTTTCGGGTTCGAAGCTCCAAATGGCCCGTGGAAATTGGGCCCATGACTTTCTCCAGAATGAACCCTCCCCTGAAGGCTGGGGCTTCAAGACTGTTCATATATTCCACTGCCTTGGCTAGGGCCTCTGGGGTCCTTTGCTTTGGTGGCACTGTTGACAGCTGTCCAATCTGCCAAACATGAATAATAAAAAATATCCACAACTATAAGATTTTTATTTTATTAATACACCCAAAATCTTATCAACACCAACTATGCTTTTATTGAAAATTAAAAGATAACCGAAAAGAAAGGGAGTCTGCGACCTGACCAGGGATACCCCAACCCCAAGGACGAAAATGCTACACGGGTATAATTCAGGGACCATTTCTACGAATTAGTTTTTTTGAAATATTTTCAATCAATACACCTAGGGGTAAAATTGGAACTAAAAATTAGGAGTTGGGTGTGCTGATCAAATTTTTCTGTATATGAATGCGAGAGAACTTGGGCTTGGCATGGCCCAATTGAATTGAAAATTGAGAATTGAGAAGTGAGAATTGATATTATTACCTTGGGAGAGAACATTCCAAAGTCTCTGGTTGCAGAAGAGCCAGCGAAGTTTTCACCACTGGCAGCTTCAATGTAGCTGCCAAAGTGGGTGATGCCGACCACTTGGATGAGTGACACCTCAATAGGGATGGGTGAGGGCACGAAAATTGCGTTCATCGGATTGTCAGACATCCCTTGCCCAACCAAGGGTTGGTCCACCACCACTGTGATGTTGTGGGCCCTGAGGTGCTCTGCTGGGCCCACCCCACTCAACATCAAAAGCTGTGGGCTCCCAATTGCCCCAGATGATACAATGATCTCGTTTCTAGGCCCACTCTTGAGATAAGCTCTGTGCTTGGTTCCTGATGCATCTCTGAACACCACCCCATGGGCCAACGGCCTTGATTTTCCTGTTCAATATTAGAGATCCAAAATAAAAAATAAAAATAAAAACCCATTTACCATTTACCATTAGCTAATAATGGTATAACATGTATTTATATGTTTTTCTTTTTGTGTTTATAATGAATATTTTTGCACAAATGTCAAACCGTGATTTGCAGGAATAATGAGATTCTTGCTAAGCAGTATTCTTTATCATTTAAATTGAGAAAAATAACATGATAAATTAAAAAAGGGAAAAGAGGAGGAGGAGATCTCAAACCTTTTGTTCTGAAGAGGATCTTGTGGACAGTGGCATGCAAGAGCACGGTAAGTCCTGTGGGGTTAGCGTACTGTAATAAATCTGCGGCAGTGTGTCTATGTCCCTCGAGATCAAATGTGGTCCCCCCAACTTTAGTCCCGTAGATATGGTCATAAGTGAACCCGTTGTAGGGCACCACCCCGGCTTGCACCAGACCGGCACGCACCGCTGACTGCCACGCCTGTATTGGTGGCTGAAACGCCACGAGCCGCTCCACCCATTGGTACGATTCGTTCACTAACCGCGTATCCCATCCCGCTTCCCTAAAAATAGAGAACATACAAATGTGTCAAGAAGACAAGTGAATATCATATGTACCTAGATATAATAAATTATACGTATATTTATACCTGGCGTAGTCAGTGGCGGCGCGTGAGTAAAAACCGGCATTGAGGCAGCTTCCGCCACCTAACACGCGGGCCCGGGCGTTAATGACACCGTCCTCAGAGATGAAGCGCTGGGAAGGGGAGGTGGGGGAAAGGTCAGAGAGTGCACGGCCAAAGGCTGACAAATTAGTAATGTTGGGGTTGCCATAGGGTGCGCCGCCGCGTTCAAGTAGCAAAACGCTGTAGTTTTGGGATAGAGTGGCGGCCAAGGGGCAGCCAGCAGTGCCACCACCCACTATAATGTAGTCATAGTACGATATGTCCGGAGCTGTGGTTGCATTGTGCATGAAGCTAAAGTTCGGAACTGTAAATTACAGAGAAAAAAGATTATACTTACTGTTCTTGGAAAAATATTTCACTAGTGTATTTTTAAAAAATATTTTTGTCCACAAACTCAGACTCAGAGATCACTGCTTTCATTTCATGCAATTACAAGACTCACAATATTCACAAATAATTAATAAGAAAAAATAATAATAATAAAAAACTGGAACCTGTTTCAGCTCCACAAAAGCCATGAAAGAAGAGAATCCCAACGAGGGCAGCACCAAACAATTTCCACCACCCAAAAACCATTATGTATAATGTAATATATCCCACTTTCAAAACAACTCCTAGCCAAAGAGCTTTTGTGTGTTTATGTAAATGGGCTTGCTTGCTTTGCTTGCTTGCTTTGCCCTACAAACCTTAAGCAGTTCCTTATATATACATATATATTTACTACAAGTTTCAGGGCTCAACGATCTCAGCAGCGGTAAGTACTGAAAGAAGCTCACAAACCCAATGATGTGCAGAGAAAATGGAGGGGATCAAAAAAAGATTCAAGAAAATGCACAAGATTGTGACATAGGAGCTAGAAATTAGCTCGGTCAATTTATAGACCCCAAAACTCAAAAAAGAAAAAAAATGTGAGCTATGTGGTAACAGTAGGTGTTCAAATATCTAGCTTCACATGCTATATATTGGGCTAGAAATTTGGACTAGTGTCTGCTTGCTTTCAGCAAAATGTACCATTTGCTGAGCTGTAGAGTGTTTTGGGGAGAGAGAGAGAGAGAGAGAGAGAGAGGAAACAGGGGAGGGAAGAGGGCAGTTGGGTTTTGTTTAATTGCACCAAACAACTGCTGGTGGACTCAATTCTGGGGCCTTTAGACAAGTGGAGATTGTATCGCTATCAAACTTTCTTGGTCATGATATGTGTGATTGATGCATATTAGAATTGCCTACCCCGAAAAAAATAATAATAATCTAAATAGAACATTAAGTTTTCCCACCCAAAAACCCCCATTTAAATAGACATCTGTCTCCGAACAACAATTATGGTCTCAATTGCCCTAGTGTGAGGTGCGACGTACTACTACTGAGTGTTAGTGAGGGCTTGCATTGTTTACTTCGGGTGGATTTTGCAAAAGTCTGTCATGGGCGATTTCTGACTGTTAATTAACACTTATTTATAATTGAAAATTGCATACAAATGCTCACATCGTGACTAGCTAATTTTTTTAGGTAAAAAGTCATTTATAGTCCCTGTAGTTTGCCGGTTTTACCACTTGTGTCCATTTAGTTTTAATTTTTGCAATTTTATCCTTATAGTTTTCAATTTTGTCAATTTTATCCTTGTAGTTTTCAATTTGAAGCAATTCGAGAACATATTTCAATTTCTGTCAAAATTCCTCTCAATTATGTTAAGTTTTGACCACGTGTCACTCACGTAGATGGGTGGTCAACTCGAGTCAAATTTCTCCCAAATTCCTTCCAATTTGCCCTAATTTCAACCCAAAAATGTAAATTCTTTTGAAACCCTAAGCCCCAAAATCGTGCCTAAAGTGAATGGGAAGAGCTCCATGTTGTGTTTTATTGTTATATGGCTCGAGTGAACCTCCACATGAGGGGCACTTGATCAAAACTTAATGAAATTTGAAGGAATTTGACATAAATTGAAATGTATCTTTCAATTGCTCAAAATTGAAACTACAAGAATAAAATTGACAAAATTAAAATTGCATGAATCAAAGGGGTAAAACTAACAAACTATAGAGACCGAAAGTAAACTTTTGCCTTTTCTTATATGGTACAAGCTATAGTCTAAACAAAGGGGAAGAAGGGTTTCTCATACACAAACATAACTAAGACGCCACGAGGGTTCGAACCTAAGACCTTTAGTCTACAGACCAATGCCATTTTCACTGAATTAGACCCTATTGGCGTGACTAGCTCATTTTTGTGTCAATGTTTGGGAGCACTATGAAAACAATGACAGTGCCATTTTTAATTTTGCCCATATTTTAGTTTACATCATTACTTAATATACAAATTTATAAATAAACCCAATTCTAGACATGTATTTATAGAAAAACCCAAGCACTATTTAAACATAGAAACACACCCAAAATCAACTCCAAAGTCAACTTTTTGGGTGTGTTTATAAATGGGTTTTGAGTGTATATAATGATGGGTTTTAGATGTGTTTATATATTTAAATAGTGCTTGGGGTTTTTTATAATTTCAGACCCCATTTTGGATGTTTTAGTGAAACTCCCTACTTAATACATTGTCTATAACTTTTATCGACGAACTTTTGGAAAGCAAAAATAGCAGTCGCAGTCGCAGTCGCAATCAATGTGGAATGACTTCAAATGCCAGAGTGGCTTTTTGAAGATGATCAAATTCAAAGGGATCATGGGGACTTACTTATTAGCCTAATAAAGAAGTTGAACTACTACTTGTACACAAGTAGTTGGATCTTAATGTCTCATTTAAAAGTTTAGAACTACAACATATTGGTACACTAATACATTGCTTATTTTGATTAATCATTTAAAAATAATTAGCTTTGACTCCAAAACATAGGTTTTGGAATTTATTAAAGAAAAAAAGCGAATCCAACATTTTCTTTATGTAAACAAATATAGTACTAACATGCACACCAATGGGTCTAATTCAGTGAAAAAAAAATTTAATTTACAAACCATCGGTCTCATATTCGAATAACTCTGACGCCTTGGTAATTTGTGCGTGAGAAACCCCCTCCTGTATCGCTTATATTAAAAGAAAAAACAAATACTATAGAGCTTTGGAGTGAGAGCTTCCACTTATTAACACTTTTTGAATTGCGCATTTGCCAACGTTGAAAGGATATGGACCATATAAAACCGTCTCAATGGAGGTGTAAACATGAAGTAGGTGGATATTTAATAACCACATTAATTTATGCTGAAAAAAGCAGACCATGTGGTGATTTGTTAAACACTCATCTGTCTACAAATGAAATAATGCTTGCATAAACAGAGAGTTTTATACAAGAGTTTCCCGAAACAGAAGGAAGAAGACTTTAAATGCCGAGAGCCCAAGAAAAAAATTTATCTTCTTTTTTATTTTTTTGGATTTTTAAGGGTTATTTTTAATTAATTGGGTAGGTTTGGAGCCATTGACCAAATAGTTTAGAAAACATAATTGTATCATCGTCAAAGGCCACACGTATACCATATTTTTCGGTGATTTATTAGCAATGTTCACTTTCGATGAGCGACAAAGAAAAGAAAGTCCATTTTTTCGATGGCTCTGTTCTTCTTTTTCTTTTTCAAACATCCCTTTGAGAGAATCTTATATTAATCTTATAATATAATGGACTCTCACCACGTGAGTGTGAGAGAATTATTCTCATTTTCAAGATGAAAATGGCAATAAAAAGGGTAAGTACTTCCTATGGGAATACTTTATACATTTACTCTTCATCTTTTTGGGGCTGAACCAATCATGGCCTACCAAGTTGATATTTCAAAAAAATGGGATCACCAGGAGAAGATTCTTCAATCATTTTCATTGGTAACCCTTTTCTTTCCTAATTAAGCATTTGCCCTTTCAGACCCAAAATAAATAAATAAAATTCCCTTAAACTAGCTTGCACAAGCCGGGAGAACATCCCGTAAGCATTTCAAGTGATTGCAAGTATAAAAATGGGGGAAGCGAGTACAGTAGGACACAATGGGGTGTTATAGGAATTGGAGACCATAAACAATGACCTAGTTTTCTATCAATATACACGCGGCTAAAAAGTAATAACACTTCAACGGAAAAATTGAGGGGGTTTTTGAATTGGGAAGAGATCGGGCATTTTTCTGATGCCAATAAAGATGAATCAATAGAGAGTGTTGTATGTAAAGCAGGTGGCAATAATGGAAATAACGCAAATGAAGAGGGAAGGAAATAAGGTGACATTCAGTAGCTTACTCTCCCCCAAGTATCCAGCCAGAGTTATGGTGGCATCTGCAACTACTCGAGCAAGCGTCCCAGCTTCTGTTGAAAGTAATCCACCATTGTAAGTTCCGCGGGAAAGCCTCGATGACATGACCCTAGAGAGAAGTGACAAGTTGACACCTGCATAAACGATGGTTGCACGTATGAGTGTAAGAAAGAGGACTTCTTATATGCTGCATAAACCATTTTGGAAAAAGATTTACTGATGAAATTTTGTGCATTTGATATTACTTTACATGTTCTAAGGAGTTTTCAGAAAGAATGGTTCTTCATGAAGTCATACTGTTTGAGAATCTCAGAGAAACAGGGCACGATTAATCCCTTAAAAGGTGAGCATAAGGGGATATTGTCTGACAGTAAGACAACAGCTGAATTTTATTACTACTAAAATCATGAAGTTTTGAGGCAATACTTCTCCAAGTGAGAACTGAAGAATTGTATGTGTGACTCCTGCTACATAATAAATGTTACACTTCAATTGCTAAGAGCTCGTTTGGTAATATCTCTGTTTTCTGTTTTCCATTTTTTGTTTAAATTCAAAAAAACAAATATAAGGAGACAGAGAAGAGGAGGAGAGATATTAGAAAGGTGAGGAAGAGAGGAGGATTTTTAAACTAAAACCTAAACAAAAAACATCTTTGTTCGGAGTTTTATCTTTTATGTAGCATTTCCCTTCATTTCTATAAACCAAAAAGTAATTGAATTGAATAAAAATATATCACCTTCCAGTACTTCGGCTGAAACAAACATGATGAGCCCTGAGCTGACATATTGTATCACAGAGTATGGATTAAACATATGGAAGCTCATAACTATGCCTATGCAAACCACTATTTCAGATGCTAATAAAATTTGCCTGCAGTCAGGTCAACAAGAACAAATCCATCAGTGAGCAGGACAAATATTAATGGAACTTTCAACTAGCAACTATAATAGAGCACCATACGTAAAGAAAGATTGAAGGTATTCTTCCTGTGAAAAATTACCTGTCTTCAAACATGTTGCTGATGTAGCTCCCAACAAGAATATTTACAGGAAGAACAGTTAGCCCAAGACAGAAGAGAAAAATTGCGACTTTGCTAGTATTCCAGCTAAAGTAGTATGTGGTTATAACACTAGATTCTGAAAGTAAAATCTCCATTGCATACTTGAGCATGAAATATATCAACAATTGAACCTGTTGAAACCACAGAAAAGTAGAAAGGGTTTATGTCCCAAAGATTTAGCAATGCAGACAGAAGTGGAGATAAAACATTTCAAAGATATAGCACTAAATATAAAATAACAAAATACACGACAAGAATAAAAAATTGAAAGCATCAACTAGAGTTAGGTGAAGGCAGACCTCCAACTATTTTCAGGTTAACACTGACGTCAAAGATTCAGATACATTTAATGGAATAATTGAGCTGTGAAACTCATTGAAACTCAAAATCCGTGAGATACCTTCACAGAGGGTGTGAGTAGTCGATATGCTGATTGAATCGAAGTGGCTGGTCGACGGGTCTCCTCCGGTGCTTCTTCACTTTCATCTATATCTTGGTCACCATCTTCATCTTCTTTCTTGTCATCAGAACTAATGAGCAATGGTTGTTTAAGACCTTTCTCGAGTGCATCGTTTTCTGTTGTTCCTGTCAATTAAAATTAAAATTATAAGTCTCATTGACCCACCATAGATCTTGATACTGAAATCAACAAACTTGAGTTCAAAGAACTGCCCACTTATCAAGGTCTAAAAGTCTAAGTCGGAGCCACAGACCATGTCAACACCAAACTTAACTAACATTTTTTTAAGGGTCTGAATATGTCAAGCATGTTGAAAACAGTAATGTTCAAGGATATTTATTACCCATACCAACTTATGAAAATCAGTAGCATCAAATTTCTTTCCTATGCACTAACAATATGATTACTTTGAAGCTTCAAAGTTTCCCTCAAAAGTCAAAAGACCTATATCCTTATTATATAAAATTTTCTTTCTAAAAGAAAAAAGACATCATTCACAAGACTTATTATTGTCAGGAGGACACAAGACTGATAACTGATAATGTGTTTGTAATAACATTCTCAATACGACAAAAGAATGCTTGCAGAAATAAAATGAGAACTATTGCAGTCAAATTAGATTAAATATATTGCCTCCTAAGAAGATTAAGATTTATGGAAAAGGCACAAAACAGCATATGTTCAAAAGATAAACCAACTACTGATATGAGTCAACATACCACGACTTGATTCCTGTTGTATCACTTCATCTTCACGAGAAGGCTCTTTGAATGAGATGCACAACCATATTAAGTATAAAAGCCAAGCTATAGCCATAACCCAGCCAGGCAAAGTGTCTTGATTGAATGTAAGCTTGAAAATCTTGAAATTAGTTTGAAGTAAGCCAGCAAGAGCAGGACCGCATGCCATTCCAAGGGCACTAGCACTAACAAAAGCTGCTGAGGCCTGCATACGGATTTTCAGTGGTACACAATCACTGATATAACGCCTGTTAACAGCTCTAGCAGAACCGAATCTGAAATATAGAAAGCACAAAATTTTCAATTTATCTGAAGATGTACTAAGAAAAAAGCTTCAAAGTCTTATTGTATTACACGACTCCTAGTTCAAAGTTCAATCTGAGTCCTCAAATCATAACATAATGATCTCTCATTTTTCATCTTTGTGTCACAGAAACGAGCTTCAGGTCTCCTATAAATCAAGAAACACCAAAGACTTCTTGGCCTAGGCAACAAACAAGGTGTTGTGTGTAAGATTGTCACAAACAACAATCAGCCCTAGTTTGTTTGGCAACAGAAAATCCAACCCTGTCCAAAGAGCCCGCAAAATGAAAATTTGCCTACTAGACCTCTTAATTTTATTTTGTTCCGTATTTCATGTAAAACCAAGTGTTCTTTTTGGTTTGCCTGATCAATCTACCACCTGACATCAGTAGATAATTCAATGGGTGGACATGTCCAGGCCTCGAGTCTTAAGACAATTTATGTTTACCTTGAGCAGTTAGTACATCCAAATCTTTAAAAAAAATAAGTCACCTTTTTTATCCATCGAATCTTGCCTCAATTCCATTTGAGAGCCTTGTCTACTTCCAGAATTAAACCAAGTTCACATAACCTATAACAAATTTTTAGACATTGCACATGCTTCCAGAAAAGTCTACTTTGATCTCAAATCGAAAGATGGAATACATCAATATTTCTCCAAGTGACCAAGAAGCCAGAGGGAGAGAAAGTTAAAATACTAAAACCTATGTGTCAAAAGAGCAGAGCTAGAAGAAATTATACCACAAGACTAAAATCTGACCACGGTTTGTGACAATTGTCACTGAGTCAGCTACTGTCAATTTCTACAATTGAAAATGAGTAGAGGAGTTGCAAGTTTAGGTTTTAATCAAAGCTGAGCAATTTAAAACTTCCTAAACCACCACTTTCAATGAAATACTATTGCCATATCCAAAATAAGAAGCAGAGGAAGAAGTAGAAGAATTACTTACCCACAGAAAAGACGACCAATCAAAAGAACCCATATTGAATTAAGATCATAAGCCATAGCATACATCGTATTTCCCGCAAAGAGAACAACACTGCTAAATACAAGAGGCTTGAAGTATGACTTATTTGACCATGCACTAAAATACACTGAAGAAAACACCTGTGCAACAGCCATCGCTCCAATCACAACACCACACACAGTTGCTGCAGCTCCAAGGCTCAATGAGTAGTCATCTGCTGTAGGGACAATAATATATGTATTGACCATATAAAGAAACGTGTTCACTAAGTTTAAGAGAAGTGACATAAAATGGTATCTCTGATCATCAATGGATTCCTCAACAGGAGTAGGCAGCTCATCTTCCTGCACAATCAGTGCATGTTGTCCCAAAAAGCTTAGGAAGTTTGTTGAATGGGTTAACCTGTCCACAGCTGCTCTTACTGAATCAATGACAGGATCCTGCACGTGAACCCTAGTAAACATTATCATATATTACCAACATCTTGATTGCTTCCGACTCAAACAATAACATCAAGTTTCATGCATGAAAACATTAAGAAAGAAAGAAGAGATCAAGGCATCAACAATTAATGAAACCTGGAGGGGAAGAGCAGCCTGATCGTATATTGATAAGTAGCTTCCCTGTCGGTCCTGAAGTTCATGAAGATTGCGAGATATAGCTCCCACAACAGCCCCTATTCCCTGCAATAATGTTAGACAGGGAGATATCATTTACACAGAAACTACAAGTTTGCAGTTGCTAACAATATGCTGAAAGTAAGTTTTTAGTCGCTACTTTATGCATCGTCATTCTTTCATGCCCCCAATATTCTAGAACTGCATGTAAGAACTTACATAAATGGAAATGGCAAGAACTGCATCTAGAAGCCTGTTCAAGTTTTTAAAAGTTCAAAAGGAGAAAGGGGGTGAAAAGGCCTCTGATTAAACATATTACCACATGCTTAAACACTTGCTGCAGCTGTGAGTAAGGATGATTAGCACGAGTCTTGACGTAGTAGTTAGTGAATCTATAGCCAAACCGTTTATCAAACTTCTTCAGTATCTTACGCAGACCAGTAGCATTAACGTCAACAAAAATGAGAAGCTTCAGAAGATCACGGGCCACTTGTCTATAAGCTTCTCGTAGTTCAGATATTTGGGATATATCAGGTTGCTCCTGAAGAGCGTCATGCCGTTCTCCAAGCTTGGCTATTCTGCTCGCAAGTAGCCCTTGTTGTTCCAACAGGAAAAGGACGATCGTCTCAATCTGATATTGTAATAACAAACAAGAGAAACACATTTGTTATTCACCTCTCCTGAATAACAGCAGAACTCAGATTGTCCAGAATAAAAAGACCATATAATGCAATGAACTTTCTGGTGATACATATATGTACATATCTATTGATCATCCAAAAAGAGAGTGCCCAAGTGGATTATAACAAGGACACAAATTATCTATAATAAAAATAAAATATAAAAACAGATGCAGATATTGACTCTAAATGTGATTGTGAGTGCTGGGGTACATTCATACATTCACCATTATAGTATTCATAAACAAGCATGGATGACCCACATACCTGATTATCCAGCATTCTTGAAAAGTCCTTTAGGACATGCCTCCGGTCTAGTGTTCCATCTTGAATTTGTTGACCATAGTGTTTTACTTTCTTTTTCATAAGTTTATAATTGATGTAATACCTGGATGAAACAAGGTATGGGCAGACAACCATAGGAATTTAGAATATAAATGGAGAAATATTGTACAATGGCATTGACATGATAGGCATATCTGCACATATGCATGTACAATACCAATCCTTTTTTATTACAATACCATATATATGACACATATTGTTTCTTACCATATTAATGGTACCATAAATCTGGGTACTAGATAAGTGACACCATCCAAAAACACAAACCCCAATGCTCTCTAAGTCATTTACTGTTATTAATGATGACACAGATTGTGTGTATGAGTGTGTCAACCAAAAGAATCTATATGCCCACACAGATTACTCCCATAAAATCATTTATCCTCTACACCATTGGTTATACGACAGATAATTTAATGGTCTAACAACAAGAAAATCCATAAACAAATAACATAAGATGTATTAACGCTTATTTAACAGCACTGCAGGATTTTCAATTAAGAATCAGGTTATAACACAACAACATGCTTGTCATCAAAGATTGCCATCATTTAGACCCTTTCTTTTATTCCTTTACCCCTTCCACAAGAGAAAACTCAAAATTTCTGTAACAATGAATCCTATACTAATGATGCATACTTCAATAAGTGAGAATAGACAACATACCCCTGCCATTCTCGAATTTGTCTTTCCTTCAGCTTTTTCCCAAACGCAACCATTTCTGACTACAAATTAATAGCCGCTTGCATTAGCAAAACAAGAAGATGAAGTGAAAACTACCACGGAAGATAAAATGCTAACAATTATAATTATTGTTGTCCACCAGAGAGGTTGCCTATACAACCAGAATTTTTCTCCCAGCCTGAGCAATGCTAATGAGGATTGTACGTTAATTCTTCTGGCTCCAAACCCAAGTAATTGGCCAATAACTTATATACATCATTAAAAACAAAACAAAAAAACAAAACTTTTTTTATATTGTATAATTTGAAGTATCATTGTCATACATAATCTGAATGCAGTGCAGCAACTAAACTCAGCTCAGCTCAATATATGCACATAATATATATATATAGATGAGTCAAGAAAGATTTGTTCCACGGAAATATAGATTAGACCACACAACATTTCCACATAATTTCACCTGACCTCTCATAGGGCTATTCTCTTTCAGTTCTATTTTTTTCAATCATATATCCCCTCTTTCAACCGCATATCAGAGAATTCAATCGCCTTGTGCCTCTGATAAGGTGCATGCATAAGCCACCCAGACATAATTTACAATAAACCTAACATTCTTAGAGTGCTCTAAGAAATTTTCATTGACTCTAGTGTAGATTATACCCTCCTCATGCGCACCATATTATCATAGACCGCCCAATTTTGACCAAGTCTACACTCCACACAAACAAGCCTACGGCCAACTTTAAGTATCAGGACATCAGCTGATACGGATGTCACCAGCTAAACTTAACTTATCAAAATAGACAAAATAATAACAATAATCACAATAACTAATTTGCATAAAAAATAAAGATTATTATTGAATGATTTATACTACTTCTAGCAAAAATAAATTAAGCTTCTGAGGGAGGAACAAAGAAAAGATAAGCTAAAGATAAAAAGAAATCTCAGAAGCAACAGAATAATCAAAAAAAGAAAAAAAATGTAGCATAGAAACAAAAAAAAAAAAAAAAAAAAAAAAAAAAAAAAAAAAAAAAAAAAAAAAAAAATAAAAAACTTTCAAATTTCAATGCTCTGTTTGATTGCCTACAAAAACTCGTAAAATAAACGAATACAGATTCAAGCTCAACTCCAGCAATCTCAGCTTCCAGGCTCCGAATAAAATCAAAGTGAAACTAATTCACCGAGCGAAGTATAACACATGGCTTCGAATCTCATTTCGCTCGTATTTTCTTCCGGATTCTCGGCAACCAAACAAAGCACGAATCCAAGAATAAAAATACACGTATATACAAGCATTCATATAATACATATTGCGAGAAAATCGAATTACCGAAAGTGAATTTCGAACACCGGTTGATGAAGAAACTTAGATGACCATCAACGAACACCGCCTTGAACAGAACAAAGCGAGAGCGCCTAGCACGGTATGCTTCGGACGCAGAAAGCAAGTACAGAGCAACGAAAGCGTTTTTTCGAGTGGTTCAAAATCAGAAAGATAAAGGCAAAGTGGAGAAGAAACTGAGAGAGAGAGAGGAGAGAGAGAGAGAGATGAGTACAGGCACGGGAGAGAGTCGTGTATTACACAGAAAGATCGGATCTTTATGAATCATTTGGGGCATAATTGTAATTTTGAGAATAATAGCAATTGGGTAGAACACATAAAATAATAATAATAAGTGGCTGCACTTGCACAGGGTGGTATTGGATTTCTTTTTCGATTTCTTTTCTTTGTCGGAGGGGTCAAATCAACTTAGGAATAATCATTGTTTGCACTATTTTTATATTTCAATTCATAATTATAGAGTGATTCGGATTCACTCATTGTAATATCATGTATATTATTAGTATTTTATAAAAATATATACTTTGATGTAATAAATAAAACAGATAAGATTAATGAACCGTAACACCACGCATCACATCATGTTGATGAATTCTCATATTTTACCTTTGTATGCTCAAAATGCTCTTAACCAATCGAACTGATAATAAAACATTCAATGCATATATAATAAGAGACCATACACATTTTATAATTATGATTGAAAAGCACATTACAAACAATTGATTCTATTTCTTTAATTGCCATGTTTTGTCCCCACTGAAAATATGCGGCCATCGGGTATCATTTAGAGTTAAGGGGATGTTGGCAAGTCAATTTTTTTGAGTGCTGCTATTTCCACCCATCTGTCCTATTTTCCCACCCACCTTATCTTCTCACCCACCATATAAATTTTTAAAAACACAATCCTATTTTTACACCCACCAATATTCCTAAAATACCCTTTTAATTATGACCTCATTTCCTCTCTTCTTTATTCTCTCTGCTCATGTCTTCTTTCTCTCTGACGGCCCACACATCTCTCTCTCATTTTTGCTCTATCTTATTTTCCATCTCTCACACTCCATCTCTGTGTTTATTGAACTAAAATAGTTTTTTGCTGTCATTTTTATTTTTATTTTGTAAATATGGATTCTGTCAATATAATCCCATTTATCCTCTTAGTGTTTCAATCCATATATCAAAATGAAAATGTAGTAAATTATATACAAGTATTTCTTTGGGGTGGTTGATCTTCATCTCTTTAATTGGGACGAACTCCCCAACCCGTATGTCATATATTATATCCTTTTTCTGTGGGGCTTTGCAGGTTTAGCTTTTCAACTCTGTTCTTTTCCTAGAGTAAGTTTACTACATAGCGCTTTAGTTCTGTATCCATGCTACTTGACTTATACATATATAGGGAAACTTGTATTATGCACCAATCTTACAAATATAACTGGTTCTTAGTATCTTAGTCTTTTGTAACATATACAGGAGAAGAAATTGGCAGCTTTCTTGGTCGCTTTGTGCTCATCATATGGTTTTTTTTTTTTTTTTCTTTTTCCTTAAGTCCTTTTAAGTCATTTTACAATAGGGTTAAATTTGTCTTGAAAAGTTTAAAGATAAGGTGGGTGGGAAAATAGGACAGGTGGGTGGAAATAGCAGCACTCTTTTTTTTTGTACTTTCCCATTAATTTTGGTCCTTCTATTTCCTTGCAAGTAAACAATAATGATGTGACATTGGGTTAAAAAATAACGGTGTGACATGTTTTCCTCGTCATGTGCATAAACCCCCACCAATTATTTTTTTGTTGGTCACATACGCTCAGGCCACCGAGTGTTTTGAGGTCATGATGAAAATATTTCTGTTTGAGTTTCAAACTGTTACCTGGTGTTATTAATAGAAATAAATTATAATAATTATATATATTATCATAAGTCCGTAAATATTAATAATACCGTTCATATTATAATACGTATATTTATGTTTAAATGTGACACCATCAAATAGTGTTAATTAATATAATTATATGTCGATTTTTAGAATATCAACTTAATATATGGTCACACTTAAAAACTCAACTTGATTTGATTCATTGCAAGCCCAGAAAAGGCAAATGATAATATAAGAAAGTGGAAAACAGCGTGGCAAAACTACAGCATTGCTTCGCTACTACTACTTTTAGCCATTTCCTCAGTTTAGGTTCTTTTCTGGTAATTCATAATGGAATTTTTTTTATAAAAAATTAGCAGAGATTAGTGGAAGTTTGACACAATTGTCTTAAAGGTAAAGTCATGATTATCTACGATTATTTTAGATTATTTTATCTCTAAGTGGCTCATTAAGACTCTAAGTACTGTCATTATAAGGGCCCTTCTTATAATTACCAACCAAACCAAACGTTGGTCTTTTGAGAAATATGACAAAGGTTAGCCCCCCCCTTTTTTTTTTTTTTTTTTTTTTTTTTTTTTTTTTTTTTTTTAGTTTTCGTATACAAGTCTCGTTTGGAAAGATTTTGTGTATGACCCGAAGAAGACTTTTTGTGTGTGGTTGAATTCAAAAAAGCTGAAGCGCTAATCAAGTTAATACATTATTAATATACTTTGTTTGGCCTATTACACAATCTGTCTTATGACATGAAGCATTTAGGTCGTCATTGAAATATGGCATTATGGTCGGCACAATTCTTCTTTACTGACAAAAGAAGGTAGCTGTCTAGGGGTATCTTTATTGATGATGTAGACTTAAAGTCATCATATTTAAATACGCATCACGTGTTATTGATGATGTACACTTAAGTTCAGTTCGCTGCATAATTGAAAGAAGGAAAAACCACACAAAAGAATCCCAACATTACAAATATAATATATTTAATAAACTAGCCACTTGCAATTAGACAATAGTAATAGCCATGTTGTGTGTTGTTGTTGTTGTTTAAAGGTGCATGTTGCTGGTCCTCCACAGCACCAAGCATGACCTTTATTTTTGTTGTTTCACACTAAAATTCTGGTGTTTTTCTTGACGTATTGCACCATATAACTACGTGGAATTCATTATTTATAATCGTTATATATTATATATTTTTTTTTTGTGAGAGTTGGAATATTTTTTATCAGTATAGTCTAGAGATCATTTGTAGGGATGATTTTTTCCCCTGATACGTTACTTAGTTTATTGTACCTGTCAATTTTGATAGGCAGGTGCAATTTGGTGCCTGACATTTAGATTTAGAGCCAGAATGTCCATGCAAGTAGGCACCATCGCTGTCCAGCCAAAGAAAAATAACTCAAGGAAATTCGCAGCCAGTGGTGGTGAGTAATTTTTGGATAGGAATTGCCCAATCTTGATGCTGTTTTTTTTGTTTTTGTTTCATGATCCTGTGGGGTTTGGTAAAATCATACACAACCCACCCACTGACCCACAAGACTGAAATTAATTAACTAAATGAAGACATGATGATCCACATTTGAAAGAGCATGGCAAATTGTTCATGTCATATGGTTGAGGTCAAGTTCCAACAGCGAAGTTTGTTTCATCATGTGTCGTCATATAATTATTTGACATTCAACTTTGATGGCTCCCCCACAACCCCCGCCCCCCTCATCATTTTCTTGCTTCTCAAACACTAATTAAAGCCAGAGCCAATCTCCAACTATCCCTGTTGGGTCAGAATGCAAAAAGACCAATTAAATTAAGAAATACAAATTTAAGAATTATCTTGCATGATTTAGAGTTTTATTTTATTTATTTATTAAATACAAGCGACATTAGGGGAACGGGAAAATCAGACTTGGGACCTCGAATGTAGGGAGGGATACTTTCTTAACTACTTGACTCTTTCCCCCCCCTTATGCATATAATGCAGTTATGGATCACAGGGCATAGCATCCTAGCAGCAAGGGGGAAATGAAAGGAAAACCTATCAGAAGCTTAGCAAAATCACCATATAAATTATCAGAAAACTCAAACAAATATAGATTATAATTTGTCACAACATCATTCTTTTATCAAACACCATCCAAGAAAAAGGGTTGACCAATGCCGCTTCCCCTTGCACTTCCACTGGAGCTTTTCTGCCTGGTGTAATAAAGGCAAACAAGTTCCAGTAGAAGTAGCAAAAGGAAGCATAAAGCATTGGAGAGACTAAGCTAGGTAAGAGAAACTACAAAAGGACACTTATTGCAAGAACCCTAAAAAAAATTGGCTGACTTTGTCAAGCTCAAATATTTCTGGTTTTTTACAAGTTGTACAGCTTTGATAAGGTACGAGAACTCCAAACACTGTCTCTCTGAGATGAGTCACTGCCCGTTGTATAGTTAGAGAAGCAACTTCATGTATACTAACTTTATCAGTCAGCTGCCCACAACCTAACTTGAACCAAAATTACCTAAGGTAGAAAGCAGGCTTCAGATTCTACATCCACAGGTAAATCAAGATGACTCACATCAATGGTCCATTTTGAAGACCTTATTTCCCCAATCTACACCCACTGTACATGCGTGGACACCAGAAAATATACATGCGTAAGAACCAGCTTACTCAGGTAAATGGTTCATCCATTTTGACCGTAGCTTTTCGCCCTTTCAGGAGCTACAATCTCGAGAGCACCCATTACACATTTGTGGTACGAAAAATCTTCTTCTGTCCTGTCTATTCGTACCAACATAAAGCAACGTGCATTCTCATGCTTCGGGTGTTGCCCAACCTATAAAAGATGAGAAAGAAAACCCATCATGGAACTGTATAGGGGCAAAAGGATGGAATAATTTATTTATATCTTATGTAGAAATTATGCTAACAACGGCCATATATTTATCAAATAATTTCTCTCTAAGTTGCCTTGTCTTATCCATTGGCGCTTAAGATGCATTGCCTGGAAAATGGCAATGCTCTGAATCTTTACATTTAAGAACCGCCAACAGATAAATGTATTTGGCAAGCAATGTTCACATTATCAAGCAATTAATATCCGTAAGATTGGCTAAACATGCATATGGACACCTAAATCTAGTTGAACGCTCAAAGCAGACCAAAAAGACTGTTTCTTTTTCCAAGTACCTTGCGCCATGAAACAAATGTATAGACAAATTCAAACTTAAGGTTCACACCAAATCAATGATACTTTTTCTTTTTTCAATATAATGTACCTTTATGTCTTGAACTCCACTTCCCATCTTATCAACTTTGTGAGGATGAAAATGTAATGCCATCTTCAAGATTGACTTGTCCCCTTCAGTTAAACTTTCATTGATGTCATACCTACATCACACAAAATACACATATGAGCAACTCCACTTTTTTCCTTCTTTCATTTGAAACCGCTGGATTAAATATAATTCAGTGTTAATATGAGGTATGCTCTTAAAGATTGCAAGTTGGCAAACAACTTCATGGGGGTTAACTTACTTGCGCAAAATACGCTTCAATGTCAGAGTCCACTTCTGAATATCGTTGATAGTCAAATACTTTCTTATGACTGACTTGAAGACGCTCTCTGACTTCTCAAGCCCAATAGATGTTACATCACATTTGTCTAGTGTATTGTTCCAAGCTTTAGACGTTTCAAATGCATTCTTGCTACTGGAACTAATTTGGCTGCCCAGTAGGTCGTAAGGATTCAATGGCTTTGATAGATTGAGTCCCTGATGATAAAGGAAGGGTTTGAGAACTATAAAGACAAAGTATCCATATGAAGAAATTGAAAAGATAGATTGATACACAGAAAGTGCTAAATTAGATAGTATGTTGCTTTATCGTATTAAAGCAAATTGGGGACTAAAATATAACATAAAAATGAAGATTATTAACATGAACACTCAGCAAAGCATGCCATCAAGGCCTCAATAGAAGATATTTAGCATCACTGGGAAATAGAAAATGAAGGCATCAAACTAAATTACTGAAACCCTTAATTTCAACCATAGTTAAAACTCTAGAAGTTTGGATAACTTCACAAAGTCCAAAAAAGCAATGCATATTCATTAGTCATCATTAAAATGCGAAGATGGACGTGAAAATAAAGCTAGGTGTCACTTTAACAAGGCATATGGTTTTATAGATCAAGGATTATGATTGGAATAATAGGCAAGAAATTTAGAGATTAACAAATGGTTTTCAAGATGTGATTATACTGTGTAATAAATAGCTCAAAATTATACCCCATTATCCTCTGCTTTTCTTGAACCCAGGCCAGAAATACAAAAAATAAAAATATAAAAAAAGTTCCTCAAGACGCCTTAGTCAGCAGAGCTGCTTGATTTTTCCACAATTAATTAAAGCATAAAAATAGTAAGATTATACTCTAATATCCTCTGCTTTTCTTGAACCCAGGCCAGAAATACAAAAATAAAAAATAAAAAAATAGTTCCTCAAGACGCCTTAGTTGGCGGAGCTGCTTGATTTTTCACAATTAATTATAGCATAAAAATAGTAAGAAGAGTCTAAAATCTACCTCCTTAGAATATAATATGTCGAACTGTCTGCCAGTCCCTGAAGGAGGAGTATTTCCCCATGCCAATGCTTCCACACTCCCATGAAGTTCATCCACAACTCCACCCTTGGCAGCTTTTATAAAGCAAGCACCAGGACTCTACACGAAATTCCAGAATGATTCCATTATATGGCTAAAAGTGGCCTTATTTAAACAAAATCAAAAATTACATAGATGAATAAAATAAAGCATGGTACTAACTGAAAAACATGCTTGTACGAATGGCGAGGATACAGATGCGTGTCCTTTCTGTTGGGCAATGCCTTTGGCATTCAACCCAACAAACTCGCCGGTTGCTGACAAACAATCAGCTACAAGAATCAATGTTGAGGAAGTATGTCCTTTCCAATGTCATTGGCTGCGGTCTCTAAATTCTGCACTTGAAAATGCATTAAAGTAATAAATATATGAACATATCTCATTAAATGTTTTCAAAGGAAAGCAAATAAACAGAGGAAACTCACATTGAGAAAATATTTCCACCCAGCATCTATTCCATATGCTATGCAATAATCATGGACATTATCTGGATGACTTCGTGACCAATCAATCAAATTCATAATCTGGAGACAGTTATCCATAAGCATACTCCAAAGCCTTCTCCTGCCAGTCTTTCCCGACATAGAAACCCTTAAGTAGAGTTCACCAGAAGAACCATGAATCTTTTTTGATTCCCTGGGGTGGTCATTCCATAAAATATCCACCTTTTTCACCTCCAGGAATCCTAAGGGACAAAAAGAATGAGCACAACCACAAGAAGGGCATGTCTGTACATAGTATGTTTAAGAAATTCTAGACTATATCCTCACCAATTTCTTCAAGATTCAACCATATAATGTCCACAAAAAAAGTACTGCAGTTGCTAAAAAAAATTATACAGAACAGCTATGCTTTGAAGATAGTTCTATTTTCTCCAAGAGCCTAAATGTTTCAAATATAACCCAAGCATTAAGTGATGCATGCCCTAGAATGGCCTCAAATTTTTAAAAAAGATTTTAGATTAATTTTTTTCCTATGAAACTTTTCTAGAGGCAAAGGCATTTCCTGTCATTTTCACCTACAAATGATGCATTTAGAGAAATATAACTAAATTCATGCAAGTTATCAAGTATGAAAATATGTAAATGTAAAGCAGGATGAAGAGGATCCTTGGTGCACAGCCAACCTTTAACAACTGTTCCAAGAAGGAAAGGTATCACCAAGTCTCGAGCTATATCCAGCTGTTCAGAAGAATTTTTGGAGTTTTCAGGCATAGTGACAGTGATGCAAAATGTATCGTCATCTCCATTGCATGTCTGAGACGCAGAACAAACCCTGCACCATTTATCGGCCAAGTTAAATGGGCCAGTGAAGCTCCATGAGATGGATTCAGTTTTAAGACATAGAAATTGCACTAGTATTGTTACAAATAGGTGTGGCTAATTCAACTCCAGATCATGCCTAGATTAGGTATCTTGAGAAGTATTGGTTTCTGCCTAATGTGAGGCAAGATGGAGAGGGCATGTTGCTTATGGCCAATGGATAATCATGGGACAACATTGTAAACACACCATAAATTGATGTTCCATGATAGGATCTTAGTCTCCATTGAAGATTACTTTAATTGAATGCCTTTATTTGGGGACATTACTAAAGAATCCTTTCAAGGTTCCAGTAATGCTAGATGTGTGAGCATATGTTCAGATCACTTATTGTCATACACTATTGTATAAAACAGCTTAGATAGCATTAAACTTTATGGTACTTGGCAGAAAAATGTTATCTTAACAAATTTCAGAACATGCATTAAGAAAAATAAAGAAAACACAATAATGCAATTTGGGATGAGCTTATATCACATATCTTTCTTTTAATATCAGATAAATTACCTCTTTGAAAATGGAAAAAAAGAAGTTATCCTAACTGAAATGTAGAATCATTCATAATTCTATTTAGTGGTTCCAGCTAGTTAGAGGATTGTCAGAGGCCTGCATCATCTGAAGATATCATTGATTGGTACAAAAGTCATACAACCATTAAATGAGGACAGCATTTGTCTTCAGGAAACGTGTGCATCCTAGTATCTCAAATCTAAGCAGTAACACAGAAGGAATCCATACAAAAACTGTAAATGCCACCCAGTTGTAAAAGCAAGTAAAAGACCTAGAAAATCAACAGCTTACTTGTTTGTAATCAGCAAACTGCGAAGAACAACTTTTAATTCGGGTCTGGCTGAATTGCACCTTGCATAAAGGGAAATCAACAACGGAATGCACCTTCAGCCTCCTTTTCCTCACAATTTCCTGAATGGAAACAATGTTATACCATATAATGGAGCAAGTAAAAACTGAACAATGTTACGCATTACAGTTTATACTACCTTGCATATATGAAAGTGGGTAACCCATGGGCTGAAACGCTTTTGGCTATTACTTTGTGAGGAGAAGCTGATATCCACATAATACAGCAGTTAAAAAATGTAAAATATTATATATATATATATACACACACATATAAAAAAGAAAAAAAAAAAAAAAAAAAAAAAAAGCATGGAAATGAGGGGTATCTAACATTATCATGACAGTAGAAAACAATGTCGGAAAATGTCAGTCCCCACCAAATGATTCTTAACTTCTAAGGCTCCATACTCAAAACCATGCCTCCGTCTTCCAAGCTTCTCGGAATAAAAATAGAGACATAGTTTTGCTTAGCACTACTTTTCTTTGAACCACATTCCAAGATGTTCTGTACAATTAAATCAGCTCAGAAAAGTCAGGTATTTCCAATGACAGTACAGTTGAATCAGTGTTGATAAATTGTTCATGTTTCATATGTTGTCAATAATAATAACTAATTACAATAAAAAAAAAGATGATAAAAAAAAAAAAAGCACCAAATTTAACTGTTTGAAAAAGAGAAGGGATAGAATATTTTGCTTCAGAAAAGGAGACCTAACTGTTGTCTTTCTCCTAGTGTATGCAGATCATTTATTTGTTCACTGTCCATTAGCTTATAATTGTGGTTTTTATTATTCAAAGAGACTGGAAGGAGTTGAGTAACTCCAGAAGTCCCATTCATTGCTTAGTGAATGTTTTGTTGCTTTTGGTAGAGGTAAGAAGGCTAGTGTGTTGTGGGGTTGCTGCAGGATGGCTGTTTTGTGGGTGATACGGATGGAGAAGAACAGGAGGATTTTTTTTGTTTTTTTGACAAATTTAAGGGGGAAGGGGGTAGAAGAGCTTTGGGTGAGAGCAAAGGTTGTTGTCGTCTCTTGTTCTTCAGTGTCATCAGAGTTCAGGGATCTAACATTCTTTTCTATTTTGCTAAACTGGAAGGCTGCTATAGGATAACTTGGTTGTTTTAGTTTTTGGTTGTCATTGAGTATAGAGCTGCTATTTGATTCTTGGTGGATTTCTTGTTCACCCACTTATGTACTTTTGTTTGAATAAATTTTGTTTCTTCTCAAAAGAAAAAAAAGGGATACTTATACGCATAAGGGGGGAGGAAGCACCTTCAGATTTAGCAGTGGAGAAGTTTCAAGAAGACTAACTGGTTGATCTAAAGCACTGTATGCAGCTTCAGATAGGGCACAAGCAGACAATGAGCCGACAGGTTGGCCACCTATACCATCACAAGCAGTAGTACTCTTGGCATATGAGGTACTGGTGCTATCTGATTTGTCCATATCAATATCATAGGAGAACTGAACAAGCTGGTTCCCATATGCATTTCTCACCGTTCCATCATAAGCAGTGTACAAATCCCGCATTAAAAACATTAGCTTTCGAGTCAAAGTCCCTGGAAGATCAGCATTACCACTAAAAGAACTATCTCGACTTGTACGGAATGAACAAAACATTCTAATGGATTAAGCCTGTCAAGAAAGAGCTTTTAACCACGGCAGATGGGATGTAGGACTCAACACATTCATAAGTTCCCTCAACCTTCTGAATTAAACTGCATGCCTTTTGATTATTCCATGCAGCACATGAGAGCTGGTTGGGAATTCTGAATGATAATGGAATCAGTGAGTGTTGCAAACCAAGGCACATACTGTGCTGAACTAATTTCTGCAAATTACCCTTGCTTCCAGCCTTCAGCATAGTCAGCAAAGAGTTGTCCTTACCAGCATATTTGTGTGCTAAACTTTGAATATCCCGGAAAATGTGCTTGAAAGCATCATGAACAACCTGACTAAGGGCAGCAGATTTCTGCTTCTCATGACAAAAGTATTCTGCATCAAAAGTCAGAGGACTTCGATTCTCTTCTGCACATCCCATGAGAAATTCCTGACAATTATCCACCAACAACTGTTTAAATATACAAGCCTGTTCCGCTTCTTGCAACCCACATGAAATTTCCTCCATCAAATTATTCCTTGAACCTGAGTCAGAAGCGAGGTACAGGTCCGCGAGAGAGACACTCAAGCCCCTCATTGACAACCACTCACAAAGAACTTCCTGAGCAGCAAACAAGAAATCAAGTACCTGACCCTGGAAATGATTAACAAGGCTCTGAAAAAGATTGCCACCTGTGTCTCGCAACCAAGAAGAACCTTCAGAAGATAACAGCTCCCCATTTTTAATATAAACACCATCTGAAGCAAAATCGTAATCAAAATCTGAAGGTAGGAGCATGCTGAATACTTGCTTTCCAGTCCAAGCATGGCTATTAAGTGAGGGTGCTTTAATAACTGCTGGTGATGGCAGTACATCCCAGCAGAACATTTCCAACTGTTGCATTTCAAGTAGATTCAAGAGAGTGCCATCCTCCATGATCAAATGGGCTGCAGTTAAGCTATCCTGACTAAGTGAGAGCAGGTTCCTACCACTCTGCCCATTAATCAATTGCTTATCTAAAGCAACAAGCTCTCGAAGCTCAACTCTGGCATCATTTGATTGAGGAATATAACCATGAAGGCAATCACCATCAAAGTCACCACGAAAAGGAGAGCAACAAAGTGGGTTTATTGATACAACAGAGGTTATTGGAAGGATCTTGACGGATAAAGCTATCAGGGAGTGTTGATGTATTGATGGAGGCCTATTTATCAGCACAATATCTCCATCACTCAAAGGCCGGTAAATAGTATCTCCCATCTGCAATTCATCTGTTCGGCGTACCCAAACCAGACTACCTTTTCTACGCACATGCATCTCACCTTTCACCATAAGGCGTAGATTGCAGGAGGCATCCAACTTTTCGATGTTCCATCTGTTCAGATTCTCAGAAATCTGCAACCTCTCTGCAATTTGACATGGTATGCCAATTTCACTGAGCTTGATGTTTGGATCACCAACAACAACTGTGCGGAAACAGTGGTCACTTCGCTTCCCTAGAACAACATCTTTGATCCATCTCAAGCCAGATGTTTTTGAAGGATCGTCTTTAATATTTTTTTGCTGAGCAGAAATAAAATCTTTGCTTGGTTTTTCTGAGTTTAGCTGCATGTTCGAAGTATGACCATAAGCAAGAACAGTATTGCCTTATCTACACAAACACAGGGAAAGAAAGAAAAAAAACTGAGTTGCTTGCCTTGGAAATTTTCAGGCAGTCCAAAACACGAGAACCCAACTCATTAGCTACACCTTTGAAATCAACAAGCTTTCTATAAGCCCTGGTCCGTTCATCCTACACATTTGTACAAGCAGATATAAGAGGAAAGCAAAAGCAAAAGTCGTGAATTATTTGGTAATATATTAACTAAATCAACAAAAACAAGTACAGAAGTGAAAATGACTCACAAACATCAACCGCTGCCCATTAGAAAAAGAATGCATAACTTCTGTCACACGATGACAATTTGGAGTTACAAGGAAAGAACCCATAAAAAGTGAGTTTGTCTTTGGTACAATCTTTTCAATGAATTTTGGATCAACATCCTTCAACAAATAATGAACCTGAAAGCCAGAAAGAGAGCATCATGTTTATAAAATATCTGTATAAGAACTAGAACGTGCAGCACTAATGTTATGCCCATCTGCTTGATATTAAAAAAAAATGGTACTCTAGAGAGAGAGAGAGAGAGAGAGAAACTTGAACAAGTATGGTTTGGAAATGAATGAAGAGAAAAGGGAAAAAACTGAAATACTCTACTTGGCTTACAACATCTTTTAACTAAATGATTAGATGCTGTGTTAATATCAAGTGCAAAGTTGAAGTCTTGAAGCAGCATTATTGAATAACCATTAGCAACAGTGTGACCATTACAAAGAGAACAAAAATTATTTCTTGAATTTGTAATCTGGAGATAGATTGGTATGTTTACTTCAGAGGTTCATATGGAAAAAACTGTGTTATAACATTTAGTTAAGATGCAGATCTCCCATCAATTTGATTTTAAACCTACATTGCTTGCTTAAGCATTCCAAAGAAAAAATGAACTTGGGTTTTTATTTCTTACAAGGAATAATATCTTAAGGAAGAGCACCTGATATAATAACAAACAAGTCAAGAACTTGATAATTCTGTATCCTAACGGTATACCTAAATGCTCTACAATATACTCCACCAAACAAAGATGCAGGCGTGCGTGCATTACATACATTTATGTAGGTTTGCATAGGTACACATCATGCAAATGCATGCGTCTAACTGATTTCGGAGTTTGATGAATTAAAGAAGAAAACAAAATCTGAATTATTTAAAGAAACTTTATGATTCAAACAACATAAAAATATGCACATCAATGTTATTTTATAAGGTCATCCAATTAATACATGCATATATAAAAAGGCCAAGATACCTGAGCGTGAGATAGAACTCTTTTGTTTGGTTTCATGCAACTTTCATCTTGCTGTGCATCTTTTGGAATAAAGTCCCAATAGTCAGCAGGTAATATTCCATTTGCTTCCGCAATTATTGCACTTCTTTTAAAGAGCTCTCTCGTAGAAACTTTGAATTTCATTCTTGGAAAATTTATCGAACTTCCCTATTAATGGAAAAGTTCAATGAAACTACAATGGTGCAGAAAGAAATTTAACTAAAAGAGACAAGCAAACTCACAATACAATATTTGCAACCCTTGAGCTTCCTATGACCAATTACAGAACCAGCACCCTGATACATGCATAATAGGAGATAATAAATAAGTGATTAAATAAATACTATCAACAACAAGCAGACAACAGGCACTCTTGCATGGCTTAGAGTAAATTTCATATCACAACAGCATATATCAACATTTATGATATGTAGCCATCACCTCTGAATGGTGTTTTCAAACGTATCATGATACATTTTCCAACATTTTTTATTATAAGAAATCCCCTTTAACCTTGAGTAATTTCAACAAACTCCACAACAATATTCAAAAGTGACCAAAAAAATCGCCTTTAACCATTTAACTATTAAGGAATATAAATTGCCACAAATGTTCAATAGGGATAAATTACAAGTCACATTTATTCGACAATCTCAAGGATCAACACGAAGAGTGCGGTAACTGACCTTGGCCCTTAGATTTTGCCTGATAGATTTACATCCTGGGCAAATCTTGTTTAAAATTTGGGCAACTTCCGAAAGATAATAGGGATGGAGAATCGTGCATGGAAACTTGATATCCCCAAAATGACCTAGAAATTAGAATAATTTATCAAAACCAATTCCAATGCTGGTAACAAAGATGACTCATCAGGAACTACGTTAAATGTCCATCCACACCTTCACAGCATTTTAATTTTTCAGCACCACAAGTAGAGCACTGAAAAGATGGATTCGGAAGTCCCAACTTAGGATCAGTGACCTCAGTGACTGCATCAATTTGTTTAACAGATATATTCTCCTGTTACAGAATTACAATATTAAAACAAAAATTATCTGATATAGCAAATGCATCACGCTGTATTTGAACTATGAAACTAATAACCCCTTCACACTTATACTGATTGACGCATATTAATCACATGCTAAAATGTTCAAAAACAACATTCCAGAAGTAGAATCCGTACATTACGAATGCCTATGAATATGAATAATGCTGGACAACATAAAAATGGAAGTGGAAGGCATCATATGGTAAGAGTTTCACTGTCAATGCAGCTTAATGAGATGATAACATAGTTCAGAGGCTTTCTCCAATGTCCTTATTGTAATTAAAGTAAAGACATACTATTTCTGGGCTGTAATCCTATGATCAGAACCGTTCAGGTTTTAGGTTCTCTTTCAAATATTATGCATGCAAAAAGTCAAATAAATCAGAAAACTGTTTAGCCATTTGATTATCCACTTTTTCATTTCAGTTTTATCTAACGAACTGCGTTTGTTTGCACATTTTAGATGACCAAACAACTTCCAATCAAGTGTAGAAAGAACAAGAAAACAAGCTTATAATCTTAAAACAAAATACAATTTTTTTGGAAAAGGGTTTGTCATCAAGTTAAGTTGTATTCATACTCTTATTTGGTGTCCAAATTATGTTTGTCATCAATTTAAGTTGTATTCATACTCTTATTTAATGCCTTCAACTTTCGTTTTAATGTAATAATCCTGCTTGTGGAAGAATAGATGTGTGTGTGCATGTGTCAATTTTCTTCCAATATATTTTCTCTTTTCGGACCAACAAAAGAAAATACATCTAAGGAAGCACTCAAGATAGGGAAAAATGCTTACTATATCTTCCTGAGTTGAAACATTTAGATGTATGCCAGTTATGAGACCAGATGGCACTCCTTCTTCTTCATACAATTCATTGTCCATGGGGCTTGATTAACTTTATAATTACAAAAAAGAAAGTTGTGAACCTGCATAGATAGCCAAGAGCGTTAAACAAAGACAAGTAGATAAGAAAAAGAAAATGTAAATAACCATAAAAGTTAACTAATAAGGAAAAAAGGCTTAATGTGGAAATGCATAGAAAACCCCCCAAATCCCCTTTGTCCCTAACTCTGTATTCCAATACTTCTCCACGTAGTTTAGGTACTAACAGTGTGTTCATTTACAAGTCAACTGCGGGGGGGAGTTTTTCGAGAAATAAAAGCTGATGTCAATAAACAGGCGCTTCAGTGGTCTACACACCATGTACTTCACAATTTGCAAAAAATATTTTCAATGCTACTGTTTTGCACCTACGATATATAGATATAGCAGTAATTGGAGAAAGTATAACCAGCATTCTACGAAAATGATTATGGCACTGATCCAATTTGGAATTATCCTGTAAGAAACGTATATGTGGGAAACACATAGCAATGCTTAAAACAGTTAAGAAGCAAACATCAATAAATGATTTGGTCTGCTTTGCAGACGCATTCCTATTAGGGGGGAAACAAGTTGCACAGACAAATTAAATTGGATAGCATCCATGTCAGACACGAAATTGAATAGAATCTTATATAATGCACTGAAAAAAGAAAAAACGAAAAAAGAGAAATAACAGCTGCATGCAAATATATTCTTTTAAAACACCATGCTTACGAGTTTATGGCTCATGAGCAGCATTTAGCATTACATCATCAATGCATAGATGCTAATTTAAAAAAAAATTGCTGGGCACTCAAACTCCTAGACATGTCCAAGTCCAGCACTACACAATGTGTCACGGAACACTCAAAAAACGAAAAACACGTGGAATTAGTAGCACACTCAGATAATCAGTTGGATAACAACTGCAACCACCAATGAACCGACACAACGCACATCCTGTTTAGTAACCAAACCATAATAAATAAACTATTGATCAGATAAAAGACAGATCATGCATAAAATTCTATTTTTAATATGTTCAGAAGAATGCATTACAAAAACTATGACACCGGTAGCATGGTAAGGATCATTGTAACCTCACAAAACATTACCCCAAAGAAAAAATAATAATTGATCAGAACATTGACCACATACGATCATTAACCTATAAGCGATAGCAGCACAGAATACCTTGCTTTCAGTAGCTTATATGTATTAGGCACCAGTGACTGTATCACAAATCCAGCAACCAGTGACCGTATTAGGCACCCTAAAATCTAGCATTCTATCAATGAATCTTAAAAAGAACCTGAACTTGGCTATCAAATAGGGTTGGTTTTCCCTACTTTTTGAATCTGACTCTGAATGTGCAGTGTCTCTCTGCTAACCCTGATCATCCTCTCAAAAGCTTGCTCATGAGATGTAGGGAGATGATGAGAAACAGTGATTGCAAGCTAAGCCACATATACACGGAGAGAGAGAGAGAGAGAGAGAGAGAGAGAGAGAAGTTGTGTTGCTGAAAGTTTAGCCACTCTTGGCCTAAGCATGAATTTGGGATGCACTGTATTGGATTCTCCTCCTAGATAGATAGGAAAACTCCTGTTTGAGGATATGTGTAGGGTGCTTAGACCAGAATAGTTGAATTTTTCTTTTGTTTGGGCTTTGGCCCTCCTTAGTACCAAACAACAACAACAATTTTTTTACAAATAACATAAGATTTCAATCCACATTGTGCCAAGGTTCATTGTTTTCCCCCTCCCCCATGATCAAACACAACATGCAGAGCACCAAAGGAAAATTTCCAATGCACATTGCCAAAACCATTAAATTCCACACAAAAAACCCATAACCCATGATGTAGAAAAGGCAAGAGAGCACCTAAATCACCCCAAAGAAAAAATAATCAAACTTGTATAAAAGAAGAAGAAGAAGAAAAAACCAACAAAGTTGATAAGATAAACAGACTGGCACTAAAAAACCATGAAAAAGAACATGATCATCCACAGAAAAACATGTAGCAGCAATCCCGTAATAAACCATGAACACAACTCTAAAAAGTTTAAAAAATTTCACCGGCTTTTTCTGGAAAAGAATGTGGTCTTTATATTTCAGCAGAGGCGCCTCAGTTGGGGCGAGTGAAGCAGAGAGAGGGCAAGCAAAACTGAACCCAATGGTTTGCTCTGGAACTCAAGAAGGCACCAAAGAAAGCTGTGCCAACAAAGCCAAGAGCAAACAAGGCAAGAAAGCGATGCAGGGGAGAGGACGAAAAACGCTTCGCTTACTCTATTCAGAAACGCCGCCGGTTCGCTTCAACCAACCAAAAGACACAACGCCGAGTTCAAGGACTTGAAGGAGACCGAGGCCGACTGAGAGGTTTTTGGCTTTCTGTCAGATAACAAGCCCAACGTTTTCTCAGTGAATTACCACACTGACCATGTTCTTTTATAAACCACTATGCTTTCACTATCTGACAGCAAAGACCCGTGGGAAGTTACCATTAAAGTCAATTTGTTTTGGGCCAAATTCCTAAAAGGTTAGGATTTAGATTGAATAGTAATCTTGAGTTTACTTTATTTTTAATTTTAAGTCAGGGTATTATGAATTTAAGAGTTTCTCGCAATGTCATGATTTATGGTTTAAGGTTTAGGGTTTAGTAGCATAACTCGAACTTTAAGCATGACTTTTGAATTTGTGATGCAATATTATTAGGGTTAAAGTATGCTGAAATTGGAAGTGGATCATCCGTTATAGGTTTTCTTTTATTATTAACGGTTTTTCCTTTTCTATGTCAGATTTCGCATTTGGAAGTTTTTGGTTTCTGAACAAGCGTCCGACTCTTAGCATGAAGTCAATTAGGCATGTATCTCGATGTTAGTATATTCGCTGACCAAATTAAGATTATTTCACATGTCTAACACACATAGTCAAGTGTGGCATGTGTTTTGAAGTGAATATATTTTCTTGACAAAGATTATCGAATATGTTTGGCATATTGTGTTGGACAATTGTAGACAAAAATGTGGAGTCTCACTGCTTTTTTCTTCTTCTTGCGAATTCAATATTGCCCTAGAGGCCAAAAAGAATCTCTTATGTAGTGTGTAGTTACAAAATAAAAGATAAGAATACTTTAAGGTCCGCTATTTGGGTAAGGCTCTGGGGTTCAGTTAGGTTTGCTCTCCAGTTTGAGTTCCAACAGTTGCAACACCTTGTGGTCAGCAGACACCCCATGGTACTTACTAAAAAATAATAATAATAACCAAGAAAAATATTGTTAATGACGTTAAAAACATAAATTTTATTAAGGTTAAATTGGAAAAGACACAAAATAATTATCAAGTTTTATTTAAACGCTATTCCTCTTGTTTGGTTGAGCTTATAGTATCATGCCACTATCTAGGCCTTTTGATGTGAGGAGCAAGTTCACTTCTCAATATGCTCAATATGAGCCATCCAATTGAGCCAATGTGACTCAACTATTAGCTAGAGTTGACAATTATTATAGTGTTTAATTTTGGAAAAAGTGTTGTCCTAATCCATGACAGAAAAGGCAGCACCTCACCTATCACAATTGCTATACAAAGGCAGCTACAATTTACAATTGCATCCATAGTCAATATTTTCCTGGCATCATGAAATATGAATACTCAAAACATCAAAGTTTGATCCGTGTTGCTAAATGAAGCATGGAACCATCAATTTTTCCTTTTGCTGGTAGATAAATAATCGAAGTTTTTTTTATATAGAATAGCGATAGTGTTTTATTGTGGGAGGATAAGTAACTAGAACAAAAATAGGGCTATGTCATCAGGATTTAAGCGACTTTCTCTACATATGAGGACTCAATCGTCGGTCTAACTGAATAGCCTTACCCTCTCAATGGCAAACGGGAGAAACAATATTGCCTGCCACCTATTGATTACCCCCATCCCTATGTTGAATAAAACAACAGTGTGTATCACAATTTCCCACCACATTTTTTATCATGACACAAGACATTCATTATTGTAAAGAATTTAATGTGTCCACATTGAATGCTCATATTGAATAGAAAATAAGTGAAATTAAATCATTTTAAACTAAATTCAATGCATTGCAACCAACTTATTGAAGAAATCTTTTGATACCAAAAGAAATAATTAATCAACAATATGGTATAAATAAAATAATCAGCATTTGTGTTTAAAAATAATTTTAAAATGCTTCTTATTTGTTTAAAAATAATGACAATGAAATAGGATCCATGTTACAGAAGTTAGGTAGATTTGTAATTTGCAACACGGGAAAGGGCAACTCTGGTTGGTTAGGTCGTATGGCACGGGAATTAAAACTTAAAAGACAATAGTCAGAGGGCAAAGACGTCAATGCACGTGGGGCTAGTGAACTCTGAGTGATTCGGCAGTGAGGTTCCACGCCATCCGTGGGCCCCGGCAGTACTTTCGTCATAAATTAGAGTATTTTTTTTATGTCTACTTTGCGATGAAAGTTGGCTTCTGAAACTTAAAGGGCCCCTTCGAACAATAAAAAAAGAAGAAAGAAACTGAAAGGGCCCCACACGCACGTTTTATTTTGCAACTCCATCTCTTTTACGTTTTGCTAATCCTAGACTAGAAGACATCGAAAATCTAAATAATAAAAAATTAATAAAAATATTTATGGTGAAGTATTAATCACAGTGGGAAACAGTGGACAGGACTTTATAATGACCCAACAGAAGAAGGCCGAAACGGCCAAGAAGGAAAATAACGACAGTTGGCCACGTGGCGATCATGCAGTGGTTCCAGATATAAAAGGAATCCTTAGGGCTCAGGTAGGTGCAAAGCAGATAATCTTCTCTCCTATAATTGGCAAGGCCTTTTTAGAATTTTGTCAGACAATTATAGAGGATAGAAAAAAGAAAGAGACATGAACTTGAGAGATTTATTTGTCGATACTTGTTGTATTTTTTGTGAGCAGATTTGTGCGAACTGTTGAGATGCTTGATGTTAATTAGGTTAGTTTGAATGAATTGCACATCA